CACGGTTTACCTGTGAGCTAGTGATGGCGATACCAGCTTTTTTGGTTTCGATACAATACCAGTCCGATACAATGAATTTTGTTTGATACCGATACCAAAATTGATACCGATACTCATTTTTTCCCATTTAGTAAAATAACTTTTAAAACAAGAACATTAATGTTTAAAACAAGTCGAAGAATACTCTAACGTTAACTGGAGTACCTGCCAAATAATCGAACATAACATATCAAAATATATTGCTAATTAGCTACATGTATTTGTTGCTCCTCAAATATATTGCTAATTAGCCACATGTATTTGTTTAAGAACAGCATTATGTCAACATTTTTTGCCTTCAGGGGCCTTCAGTCTGTTGCCTTCATGAAATATTAAGCGATTGGTAAGGAATACTGACCAAAAACATCGCAGGCTCAAGTGGTATCGAATTACCGATACTTTTTGCGAGTATCGAAAGTATCAATACTTTTGTAAGTATCGATGATTTCGATACTTTTTCGATAGTATCGATGATTTCGATACTTTTTCGATAGTATCGCCCATCACTACTGTGAGCATAGTCTCCAGGTTTTCGCGCTGACCTCCATGTCTCACGGTGGGTCTTGAAAATCTCACGGAATTCCATTAAAATGGTCTTTTATGTATGGATTCTGCATCTATGCTCTGAAAAAAATGCAATTTGCGAAAATACCGTCTGTTCTTTCGAAAGAAAATCTGTACGCATTTATAAAATAACACTCTTGTTAAAAAACTAGTAGCATGGCTATTCGAGTAAACTTAGATTTTGTGATCTTGAAGTATAACATAATCTAAACGTGATTTATGTGTGTGCGCGGGCTTATTTTTTATTACACACGCATATATGACAATCTGGTTCCCCGAGCATGCCCTGTCAACAATAATATAAAGTCAACAATTTATACATAATTTGATTAAAATTTCTCAGTATAATATATTGTTTGTGCTACTCTGTCTGGCTATATGATCAGTATGTATTAAATAACATAGGTATCACTATTATTACATATATTGCTGTCAGGGGGGGGGGGGTACAAACTAAAGGCCCCAACAACCTCCAGGTTTTTAATCATCTGAACTTGCATAGTAGCTCTGCAAAACATGTTCACTGCATGCATGCTTTGGAGAGGGGGCAACTGGTCAAGAATGAAACGATGATTGACCAGTCAATAATAAAACCGGAAGTGAGGCGCGAGCTGCTAGCGTCAACCAGCAAAAGCAAAGTTTCTTCAAGAGTTTTAGCATGTGTGCCGGTCGGTTTTATTACAGTTTTGGAATACTAGGTGAATTATTGAAACTCTGACACTTACTATATAATAAAACACTTATTTAGAGACTTGAGGAAAACAGTGTGTTTTGCAAGGGTGGGTAGTAGCGAAGTAGTTGTAGTTCGCTACTGTAGCGAACTACAATTTTCAAGTAGCCAGTAGTTTTTGATTACTTTTTTAAAACAGTAGTTGTAGTTATAGCGAACTACATTTTGCCTAAAAGTAGCCAAGTAGTTGACTACTTTTCAAACAGCGAATCGCTATTCGCTACTTTTTAAAATATGTTAGCAACCGTTCATAGAATAGAATGATATTAAGACACGGTTTGCTTAAAAGATTATTTTATACAGTAATTATAAAGATTATTTTAGCGCAAT